ACAACCCTCCCTGCAGGATTGCAAAGCCGCAGGGCTCTGCTCCAGTAAAGGCAAGCGCTGGCGAGCAGATCCAAGTGCGTGGGATCCAGCAGCCCCTGGCATTTGCTGCGGCAACAGTGGTGGGAGAAGGCTGGGGGGGATGAAGAGGCAAAAGTCTGCCAGCTTTCCCTGCCTGCCCTGGGGGGGTCCGGGCTCTCCCCACAACCCTCCCTGCAGGATTGCAAAGCCGCAGGGCTCTGCTCCAGTAAAGGCAAGCGCTGGCGAGCAGATCCAAGTGCGTGGGATCCAGCAGCCCCTGGCATTTGCTGCGGCAACAGTGGTGGGAGAAGGCTGGGGGGGATGAAGAGGCAAAAGTGACCCAAGCCTGGGAGGGCAGGGAGGCTGCCGGCTGGGTTTCCTGCTTACCGGCAGCGGGGCGGCTGGGGTGCGGAGATGGTAGCGTTTGACTTGGGGCTCTTGCGTGCTGTGGTGGAAATAGTTACGGGTTGGAGTTTGGTTTATTGTCTGGAATAACGTGGCTGGCTGTGGCGGCGGTGGGGACGGGTGGGAGGATGGGGAGAGCGGTGTCCGGGTGTGGGAGAGAGAAATCGGTGTGAGCCAGGGTTGGGCAAGGAGAGGTGGGGCTTGTAGGCTCTGCCTTCATCGCCTGCAAGCTGGTCACAAGCTTGCCTGCAGCCCTTCTGCCGGTAGCAAAGCTGAGGTTGAGCAGTGCTCAGCCCAGGCTGCAAAACCCACCCGGAGCAGGTTTTGCACCGCTCAGCTGTGAGCTCCTGCGGGCCCTGGCTGGTGATGTGCAAAGCTGGGGTTACCCCCAGGAGCTGCAGCGACTCGTGGAGCTGGTACGAGCAAAATCAGCGAGAGAAAACCCCGTCAAGACCTGGGGTGTATATATAGCAAGGTGTCTTCATCTCTCCTTCCATCATGCACGGTGGCTCCTGGGCCTGCGCTGGCAGAGGGGTGCTGGAGGGAGGACCTGGGCTGGGATGGAGGCAGGGGCTGGTGCAGGGAAACGGCATTTCGGTGCTTGCGTGGTCGGGATGGTGGCATTTGTGTTTGCTGTGCTTCCCGCTGCGAGTCATTTCCTTCCATGCTGCACGGGGGCCGGGAAGGCATTTGGAGTCAGTAGAGACAGCAGGGTTCGAGAGGCTGATCTGCCGCTCTGCGGCAAGACGAGGGCTGCACAAACCAAACCCTGAACCGTTTCCATCCCGGCAGACGCAGGCATGTTTGGGAGGAGGAGAGAGATGAGCAAGCAGCTGCAAGCATGCGTGGGCTGGAGGTTTTTACCTCGCTCCCTCCAGGTGCGTGGTCCTCGCAGAGGCTGCCCTTCGCCCTAGGAATTCCCTGCGTGCTTCTGTCGTTGAGAAGCACCTCGCTTGCTCCAGGGCTCTCTCCATTGCGTGGATTTTAGGTATGCAGTTTGTAACAGTGGCTCTGTCTTACTACTTACTTACTAACCCGCCAGTGCTTCGTGCAGGGAGAGGTGAGTGCAGGACATAGTTAGCACGCTGCGGCATCCCAAAGTGGAGACGAGACACTTGCAGCGTGATGCAAAGGAAGGCCATTAATATTTTGGCACCTTCCTTCAGTAGTTATTGCCTGGTAAACTACCATGAAAACACAGCTGACCATTCTTTCCCAGTGTGTTGATCAAACCCTGCATCCTTCAAAGACAGGATTAGTCTTCAGCCCTGCTGTGCATGTCCTGGATGCAAAGACCTAACTATGATACGGTTTTTTAAGGGCTAGAATAACATGCTGTGTCACTAAGGATGTGAGCACACGGGCAGGTTACGGCAGGGCACGCCAACGTTTAAACTTCCAGCCAGCTTATTTCCAAAGGATAGGTGATGCCTTAAAAAGTCACACCCTTGCTTTTGTAGGGAGCTTCTCTGTCCTCCCTTTGCAGCCCCAGAGAACCGAGTCGTTCTGTGCTCTTGGCCCGAGTTGCTGAGCTTTGGAGGGTTCTTGCAGCGGTCAGTCTGGATGTGTCCTGTGTCAGGCAGTAAGTGGGCTGCCGTCATCCCCAGATGCACACACACGCTGCTGGACGGCGTATCCTGCCCAGAGGGGATCCCACGTTCCTCACGTAGGGTTTATGAGTCTCCCCAAAGTCAAGCCCTCTCTGGCTTGCCGTGGTGTTCGTTTGGAGCAAGCATCATCTCGCGATGTGGTTTAGCGCTGTCGGCCACTGCTGCGGGTGATGAGCAGGTCGCATTTCTGTCTAGTTTTAAACTGCAGTAAATTGAAATGAAAGGCGAGTCGATCCACAGTGAGTGCAGTAAGTGGAGTTTAATTGGGATGAATTACATGCCAGGTTTGCAGTAATCTCCGTCCCGCATTGCTCAGAAGCATCATCTGCTTTGGAAACGTGACTCAGAAATGTTGTTATTTGATTCCCCCGAGCATTTAAGAAACTATTTTTCCAGGAAGCAAAGATTCTTGGGTTTGTTTTTTGTTTTTTTTTTTTTTTTCTTGTTGCTGTTGTTTTCTCTCTTTGTTTTATGGCAATGAGAGTCCTTTCCCAGAATTTCCTCTGGGGAGGGAGGCTGTGAGATGCTCCCTTACCAGCGTCTCCCCAGCTCCTTCTCCTCACTTGGTGTTTAACGCTCCGGGATGCTCCCAGCTGCCCTTCGCAGAGGAGCGCAGCTCCAAGGTAACTGGTTGGAGTTATCTGTTCCTCTTCACCACGACCCACGGCTGAAGCTGCCAGGATGATGTTGTGGCTGCACCCCCACACGTGTAGCCGGGCAGATCTGTTTCCTTGCCAGCCCCATGCCTGGATCTGCCCTGCCGTTCGCTGCCAGGACCTGCCTGGGTCGGCTCTCGCCACCCTGGGCTGTCCCTTATGGTCACACTGCGGCCTTACGCTTGGGCACCTTTGGCTTGGCCCACTGGGTACGGCTTCCTGAGGTGTGCCACCAGCCCTATAACCTAAGGAACATCCTCAGAACGATGCTGTCCCCATGTCCCAGGAGCCTGATGTGATGGTGGGGCTGCCTGCCCTGCCCTAACCATCATCTGGGGGCACCGTCCGGAGTTCCATTTGACCGTGACTTGGTTACTAGCAGTTCATCCTGTCCTCTTCAGCCGTTCCCTGGAGGAACCATGTTGATGTTATGGAGGTGCATGAGGATATTAAACATAAGCACGGCTCCCTGGAGTCACCAGCCCCAGCCCTGGCCAGGGTAACACACTGTCCACCTGGATTACCAGCTGCATCACCCAGGACCCTGCCGTCTCCTGTCTGGCAAGAGATGCAACTTTTTCAGCGTTCCTCTGCAATCTAGGCTTGCGCCCTGACACTAACCCCCTCTGCCACTGCCACAGGCTCAAAAAGAAGCCATTTTTTTTAAAGTCAAGTCCATTGGACTCGTTTCACAGTTTTGTACTGTACATGTAAGAGGTGGGAGCCCTGAGCTGTTATCCCACCTCCCTCAGCTCTAGTTCTGACCAGCACCTTGCACACGTTTAGGTTGTTGGTACCAGACCTCCCCGGTGGTGTCTGTAATTCAAATGATCTCTGGAGATTCAGCTGTTTTCATGTTTTTTTCTAATGGTTTCTCTCTGGAAGGTGTTTGGCAGTGAGGTGGGGAGGGGGATTCTGCCTGGAAGCATAGGGTGGGGGGTTGCTGCAGTCGAGTCTTCTTCAGAGCTGTGGCAGATCCACCACGACTGGATCTCCAGAGGCTGGGCTTGGTTGATCCTTGTGCTGTGCTTTCTTCTGTGGCCTTCTGAACACCACCTGGAGGTGATAAACATTTCACCCCTCTTTGGCTAGGGAAGGATAGAGTTTTCTTGGTGAAGATGGCACGTCTGTGAAGGCAAGGACTGCCCTGGGCATCCTGGTAGTGCTCAGAGGAGCTGGGAGGATGCTAATGGGGCAGGGGGGAGATGCCAGAAATTGCAGACATAATTTAGGGTGAAAGTGGGGAGGAGGGAGGCAGGGGCACCATCAAGTTGTTTAAACCAAGAATGAACTCAAGTTTCAGTATGTAACTTGAATTTGGAGGGGAGCGGGTCTTAAATCTGTGATGTTTGTAAAACGCGGTAGCTGCAAACTGGATTTCATCCCGCTGGGCAGGAGGCTCTGCCCTCGGAGGGTTCACCTCTATAGAAAAGCTTTCTTAAAAAAAAACACAACAAAAACAGTTACTGTCTTGAAAGACAACTAAAAGCGCAGTTTGCAGATGTACATTGAGTGGAGGAAGAGGTAAGAGTGAAGCGTGAAACTAAAGGGTGAAGGAGCTCGCAGTAGCGGTAGCGCTGCCCTCTGCTCATCGTGCCTGGGGATCGCTGCAGGTGAGACAGCCAACCGTTCTTGGGGGACACAGAGGGAAATAGGGGGGTGGCTGCTGGGGAGGCCTCCTAAGGAACCGGTAAGAAGGGACTGTGCTTACAGGCTTGTGTGCGTGCACAACCACGTACGCGCAGCAGGAGAGGTGCGTGAGATAAGTGGTAAGATCTTTGTGCTGCTTTGAAAGGTTGAGGAGCAAACTGGGGCTCTTGAAGGGCTTCTCAAAGGTGAGAAGTGTGGGCAACTTCTCTGAGAGGACCTGGGCACCCGTGGCTGTGCTGAGGACCAGACTGGTGGTGCTGTGCCAGAGCTCTGGGTGCATTTTCAGCCCGTGCCGCCGGCAGTGACAGGGGAGGGCTGGGAGGCTGCGGTGATGGTCGTGTGTTGCCTGAGTGCAGTGAATCCCTCCACAAGGCAGCATCCCCAGCATCTGCCCGCTGTCCTCGGACATCTGGCAGCTCTCTGCCTGGGCTGGTGCAGCCATCCCATCCTTGCTTTCCAGTATTGCCAGGGAGACAGTTTGCTGTTTAGAGCCTGGTACCGCAGTGCCGTAGGCATGCCTGGGTCTGCCATCACGTAACGGGTGGTAATCCAGCTCTTCAGATGACTAAACCCTCTTTATCTGTGCCCTTCCTTCTCCTCCATCTTCATGGGAATTTCAGGCTATTTGCTGAACTCCTCTTTTGTTTTCCCTTTCTCTTAGTGGATATTCGTGAAATCAAAGAGATTCGTCCAGGAAAAAACTCACGTGATTTTGACCGGTACCAGGAGGATCCCTGTTTCCGACTGGACCAGTCTCACTGCTTCGTTGTCCTCTATGGCACAGAATTCCGGCTGAAGACCCTCAGCTTGCAAGGTAAAGTACTCGTGGCCCTGGGGCTGTGCCAGGACAGGGTTGGGCAGGCACCTCATCACCACGGGACCCAAACTTCCAATGCATCCTTCCACAAGTGAGCTGGAACATGTCCCTGGGCAGATGGCTCTTGTCACCACACCAAGAGGTGTCTTTGGAAGAACGTGACACCAGTTCCCTGAAGGATACACATTCAACCCCTAGTTAAGTCAGTTAATTTGCCCAGTAAACCCAAAAGTTGGGTGAACTGAAGCCCCTAGTTCAAATGTGTGCTTGAAATCAAGTGTTTTATCTCAGCTTGCCACGTTGGCATTCATCAGCTGCGTTGTGGTAACCGGCCCCACACCTGAAGTGGTAAAACCTCACTCCTTTCTGCTTTGTGATTCTGAGCGAGAAAACGCTGTCGGTGCCAAACGGTAACTCACAAAGCCTCGGTACCTCTGAGCTCTTGGTCTCGGCTTTCCTCAGCACCTTGTCTGTTGACTTCAGCTGGACCCAGAGCACCCAGCCTTAGGTTTTGCTGTTGAAAGAGGGGAGGTTTATGCTGTTGAGTCTCCTCCTGTTGAGATGGAGAACAGGCTCATAGTCACTGGCTGTGGTTCAGCTGTCGGACAATATCTTTTTCTGCTAACAGTACACAGTCTTGTGTCTCGTTTAAACCCACGCAGACGAGCACTGATGGAGGCAGTCATGCTGACTCCTTAACGTCCGTGGCAAATCTTCCTTCTGGCTGGTGCTGCAGGACACAGGGACAGAGACAGTGCTTCTGCCCTCGAAAAGGATGGAGCTGCGGACAGGGAGGTTATGGAGGAGCTGGCACACATTCCCAAGCAGGTGCTGGCCTGTCACCCAGGCCAACCAGAGCATTACTGCTTGGGGACAAAGATAACCCTCAGGTCTTGGGTACTGAAGGGAGGAGAGACCGTGGCGTGCAGGGGCAAGCCAGCCACGGACATCCCATGGGAGCAGAGCAGGGGCTTGGCAGGGAGAGGAGCTGGCCAGAGCATCTATTGGAGAGGGAGCTGTTATCAGAAAGGGATAAAGGAAGGAATAGGGGATATAAGATGCTGGGGATAGTCCCAAGAGGTTTGAGTTGGTGATCAGCTCCTACGTCCCTTCCTCCCATTTCTCCTGTGCACTTTCCGCAGCCACTTCGGAGGACGAGGTCAATATGTGGATCAAGGGGCTGAACTGGCTGGTGGCAGACACTCTAAGGGCTGCCACCCCCCTGCAGATTGAAAGGTGAGGAACTTGTCCTTGTCCTGCACTTGTTTTCTTTTTTTTTTTCCCCCCTTTTTCTGTCCTGTTTTTGACAGAAAAAGGTGAGCACAGTAACAACATCTCATTCCCTCTCTGAGCCGCGCTGACCTGGCCCTTCTGCCTCTGCACTCGAGAGGCTTCATCCCCTTGACTCGTTGTGCTACATCGTTCTGAGCCGCGCTGACCTGGCCCTTCTGCCTCTGCACTTGAGAGGCTTCATCCCCTTGACCCGTTGTGCTACATCATCTATGGCCAGACATTGATCTCGCACGCATGCAGGGAAAAGGAGCTTCACCACAAAACAAATATCTTTATGTGTCTGCAGCCTGTATTATCTGTAGCAATTCAGTGTAGAGGCATGTACAAGAGAATACCTTTGATTTTTGATTTGTTTTGTTTTGTTTTGTCTTATCTATGCACTCACTTTCAAGCAGAAACAGTTTTAAAGGGGGGCAGGTTGCCTGCATGAAAATAGGGTAGGCTGCTTTGGGAGGGGGAGCAGAGCCAAGTGGGAAGGAGGGCTGTGGGAGGGGATGGCGTGGCAATGAGCATCTTCCAGAGACAGGAGGAAACCAAATGGGCTTGTTGTTGAGAAGCTGAGGCTAGGGGTGTATGTATGTGTCTGCCTTTCTGTTTAGGTGGCTTCGGAAGCAGTTCTACTCGTTGGATCGCAACCGGGAAGACAGGTAAGAAGAGAAAAAAAACACTCGCTTGCATAGATGTGTACGTTCACAGACAGGTTTGAGCCAGAAGGGTTTACCTTTGACTTGAAACCTCAGCCTTTGCTTTGGATTTTTTGTTAGGTTCTTTAGATTTTTAATTTTAATTTCCAAGGAACCTTAATCCAAGTTCCAGTACTTCCCTGGCTGATTTTCACTGAATTAAAAAAAGCATCAAAAAATGGTCATTTCCCTGACCTATTTCCCAGCTGTTTAGACCCAGTAACACCTTTAGGGCCCATAGCCATGAAACACCTTCACCCCCAGCTGGCATCACCCGAGGAAGCAGACAGCAAAGAGCCAACGAGTGGTTGTAGCCACCCGTCAGGGCTGAACAGGGCTGTGTTTGTTACTGTCCACCCGGTTTGGTTTATTCTCCTCCTCTGATGTCCATGAGGCCGTGGATCATCCCACTGCTTGGCTTCTAGGCTGAGGGGCTGCAGCAGGGTCGCTGCTTGTGGGGTTCTTGGGTGAATGCTTAGTGATGTCTTAGCAGGTGAAATGTCACACTTGAACCCGTCAGGAGAAGATAAGGGAAGGGAATTGGGTCATGACCTGTCATGAGGAGATAAGGGAAGGGACGTTTCCCTATTGAGGAGGCGAGTTCCACCATGCTCTGCTTCCTACCACCGCTGCCATCGCCTGCTTTCCCTGGCCGCACGCCACCGGCCAGTCTTCTCTTCCCGAGGTGCTCTTATTTCCCTCCTTGCGTCCCTGGGACATGCTTTTCCCCTGTGATGTTAACTGAGCCCATTAACCTTTCAGCATTGACTTCCACGTTGCTGTGCTCCCCTGGGGTAGGGGGGCTCCTCCCGTCCTGCTCTGGAGAGGGCAATGCTGGAGACATCGCTCACACATCATCCTGTGCCCCCCGGCTGTGGGGGAGCACCCAAGCCCCATCTGCCCCCTTTTATGTGCCCAGGCAGGGCTCACTGCAGAGCACCGGGGCGATTTATGGGCTCCAGAGCATCCTTTGCTTGGTCCCTGCCAATGCCATTGATCTCATGCTGCTACCGCTTTCACGCTGAGCCCTGGAATCCTTCTCATCCTTGCAGCAAACTCCTGCCAAGAAACTTGCCCTGCAAACCCGGCTGTCTGTGCCAGGGGCACGCTGCTGGGGAGCTGTGGGTCAGACAGCTCGGTCTTGTGGATCAGCAGGGGAAAATCACTGCTTTGTACTTCTCAGGAGAAGCGCGTGGGTCTTCTCATCCCGCTTTGGTCCCCACTTCTGCATCCCTCCCTCCCAGCTGCAGCGTGTGGCTCCGTGAGAGCCGGGGCAGGCAGCCGGCCCTGCTGTCGGGCAGCCGGGGCTTAAATTCCACCTGTCTACATCTCGGAGCCGAGCAGGATTGTGTGTTGCATTGCAGAAATCCCACTGCACTGGATATTTTTGCCCTTGCGATGATGTATGTTGTGCACCGTTGGGTGCCCGGGGATTTTGCGAAGGAGGGATAAACCCTCGCGGAGGCAGAAAGGGAAGGAGAGGCAGCTTTTATCTGTTGCAGCTGCTCTGCATGTGCCACGCACCTTTCAGATCCAGGCTTGGGTTTTATATGCGGTGTACTGGTTTTCAGTGGTGACTGGGTGTAATATTTCCTAGTTCAGCTGTGGAGAGCACTGAGGCAGGTGTAGGGGTGGCTGGGGGGGAGTTTAGAGCATGAACGCAGGAGAAATGGAAGAAATTGGTCTTTTTTCTCATCTGGTTATACAGTAAAACTGATGAAATGGCATCCTGACAGGACAAAAATTGAATATATAGATTCATCTGCTCGGGGCATGTTTAGCAGAGCTGAAAGCCAGCCTGATGTATCTCTCCTGTTGTTTTTCTTTTCATCATCTTTCTATTAACATTTAGAATTAAGCCAGTAAAATACAGTATATTCCTTCCCTGTCAATCAAGGGAAGGAGGTTCAATGCAAACCGCTTAATCAGAAGAGCTGCTGCTCCAGCCCAGGCAGCGAAAGGAGCAAAATGGAAATAGAGGGGGAATGCAGAAAGATTTTTGGGTCTCCCCATTTGACAAGCATCCCTGTGTTTTCTGCAAAGTAGAGGCAGCAGTTGTGGGGCGTATACATCTCTTGGATGAAATCTTTGCCCTTATGAGTTGTTTCAGCATTAACTTTGGTGTCGCTGGGCTCTTTGCTTCTCCTCCTGGAAATCAGTTTGACAAGGGAACAGTGAGTAGTGTTTTGGTTTTTTTTAAAAAAAAAAAACCCACTTCTTTTACAAACCATCCTTAGTCCTTTCCAGAATGGGCAGTTTTTTGGCAGCTGAAGAAATCATTCCCGGCGCTCATGTGCCCCGCACCCCAGCCTCCTGTGCCGGAGCCCTTTCCTTTCCGCCTTCTCCCGGCTGGGTGCCTGTGCATACCTTCCAGCACGCCGGCAGATGTTGGCTGTTTTCACTGGCTGCTGGGCCTTTGGGTATTTGTTTTTCCAAGGGAGGTTAGGTGGAAAGAGGAGGATAACAGGATGCTGGGGTTTTTTCCTAACTGCTGCGGAGGAGACTGTTTCACCTCCGGCTAGGAGAGCTGCCCGTGGCTGGGAGCAGAGTTACAGCACTGGGGAATGTTTTCATCCCCTGCAAGAGGGCTGGATCTGTCCTTTGGCCTGTTTGTCATAAGACCTTAAAAAACTTCCGTAGAAGAACGTAGTTTATTTATTTGGTTTTTACTTTCTAGTCTCAAAATAGCACCAAGCTGTTTATCCAAGGTCTCCAACACTTTAACATTATTAATAACACACAGTAAATAAAATCCTTCCATACCCCATCCTCCTACCAAAGCAGAGAGGGAAATGCTGGTCACAGCTTTTACTGGGTTTGCTTTTGCCTCCCTGGGGGCTGTCACATCAATGAGCAGTGCCGTGGTCCAGCACCTCCCTGCGAAACAGCCCAGCATCACCAGAGCCGGGCGCTGGCTCCAGCGGGTCTCTCCATCCTCCCATCCAGGACCGATGCCTTCTGCCCGTCCTGCTGCCTGCAGCCTCTCCTGCTCTTTTTTGCAAGAGCTTTTTGGCAGTCTCGGCCTTTTACCGAGGGGGGATTGCTGTTGAGGGGCCCTGGGGACTCTCGGTGTCCCGTCGAGGGTCCCACAAAAGCTGTTGCATGCTGCGGTCCTTGATGCATGAGGGCATCTCTTGCGAGCTGCTGGTGCACTGCTGGCTCACTCCCCCCCAACATTGCCCCATGTCCCTGTCACCCAGGACCCCATAGCTGGGACATGACCCCCCTGCCCTGGGGGTTGCACAGCACCCTGCATGTGGCCGTGGATGCTGGGTGCATTGCAGAAGGGCAAGGGCAGGCTCCCCTCCCCAAAACGCCCACCCTGAGCCCCCTGGGGTAACTTCTCCTGCCCGGCGGAGGTGGAGGTGCAGGGGGGAGATACCAACGCCGCTGCTTGTGCTGAGAGCATGTTGCTGGCTCTGTAGCTCGTACAGCTGGGAGGGAAAGGGAGGCTGGGGCCGTTTGCCAGCTTTTTTGGCTTTTTCCTGTCCTGCCAGTTTGGAGGATGCCTGCACGGTCCTCAGCCGGCCGGGTGCTGGCCTTGGGCATGGCAGAGAGCCGGGCCAAGTCCTGCTCTGGCCGTTGCATGCATCCCGGCCCCCCGTGGCTCTGAGCCCCGAAACAAGGGCTCTCTGTGTCCCACCGGCTGGTGCAGGCCGCGTTTCTCCAGAACT